CACACTCTTCAGACAATAGGAGCCTCTTAACCTGTTCCTTTGTCCAGAGACACAGGCCATTTCTCAGTGAAGGCCTCTGCCATCACTGAGGTTGCAGGGGAGATGTGGTAACTGGGGAGAAAAAGACCAATGGGGATGACCCCCTCACTCCTCAACATGCAAGCCCCCCACTTTCTCACTTGTCTGGCTAGAAATAAAAGGTTGATCCCATGGTTTTAACTTTCAGCTGCTGCTGGACTTTGCGTGCCTTGCATAAGCTGGGAGACAGAGGCAGGGAAAAAACCACCATAATCACCCTGTTACGGCCATGAAATTAACTGCCCTGCCCTTATGAAATTAACACTGGAGTAAGAGAGACAGATGATAAACACACACATAAAAGAGAGCTTATAGTAGGAATAATACTATGAAGAAAGTAAAAAGGGTAATGGGCTAGCAAGTGACTTTGGAATGGAGTAATGATTGCTAAGAGTGTTAAATGGCTTTCTGAAAAGCTGACGTCCGAGCTGTGACCTGAGTGACATAAAGGAACCAGCCATGAAGATCAGAATGAAGGGCAGTCCTGACTGACACAATCTCCTGATTTGAAGTTCTGAGGTGGGAACAAGCTTGATGTGTTTCAGCCCAATTAAGAGATAAGGTCAGAGAGGTTGGCAAGCAGCCAAATTGTATGGGGTTTTATAGGCCATGATCAAAATTTTGCATTTTCTTCTACATACAATAGGAAAATGTAGGGGGAGGGGATAATTAGGGTTTAATGCCTAGACTATGAAGATTTAAGTCAAGGGCTAATGATTTCAATTAAATTACTTCGATGTATCCCTACATATGTGAGGGACTGGAGAGGAAAGGAGAAGTTGTTCATGGTATGCCTGGGAAACAGAAGAAAAAAGAGAGTACCTTCACATCAGCTCACAAAACTCAGGATTCTAGAGTCAAGTAAAGCTTAGTGATCATCTGATTTAACACTCTACATTTAGGGGTAGCTTAACTCAGTTAAAGAAAAAGAATTTGTGGGACTTCCCTGGTGGTCCAGCAGTTAAGACTCCACACTTCCACTGCAGCGGGCACAGGTTCCATCCATGGTCGGGGGAACTAAGATACCGCATGCCACGCGGTGTGACCAAAAAGTGAAAAAAAAAAAAAGAAAAGAAAAAGAGGAAAAAAAAAGAAAAAGAACTTGTGATGGAATTAGTACCAGACTCTCATAACTCTTCATAAGGCCCAGAATACCTTCAACAAATTCAAAGGGAAAATGAGAAATTATTTACAGCCTCACAAATAAAGATCTACAGTGAAGGTGCAAAGCTGTTCTTGATTATTCATATCTAATGATAAAGATAATAATAGAAATTACCGTGTATTGATTACCTACTTATGTATACTAATTTGAAAGCTCTACATGGCCTTATTTAATACTTGAAATAGCCCTATGAGGTAGGTATATGAATGAGGGAACTAAAAGTCACAAAGAATTAAGAAACTGGCCCAAGATCACCCTGCTGGTAAGTACTAGTACTGGGGACTGCCTCCCTTCTTCAAAATCCGCTATACTCTGCTTCTATAAATGATATTGAGTACAAGATAAAAACATTTATTTTGCTGCTGTCTGTGTTTTATGGAACTCAAACACACACACACACACACACACACACACACACACACACAAAGAATGCTTCCTAACAGTAAAAGGTGTCAGTCTACAAAAAAAAGTATAGTTATATTAACAGATATTTATTAAGCATTAATCTCATGTCAAGCCCTGTGCTAAAGAGTTGTTTTAATTTACATCATTTCTAATGGATAAGCAACTTAAAAAAAATCATGTCCAACTATATGCCAAGCACAAAATGAGTCCAGTTGCCTGTTTGGGAAAGAAAATCACTGGCTTTGGCAGCTCCTCCTCCTGCAATGTCAGCACCCTCTGCCCCAAAGCAGTAGGGCTCATTCTGAAAATCAACTTACAAATACTCTAAGATAACTTGTGGACTGGGCTATCACTTTGACTTCTACCTCATTTTCCCTCTTTTTAAGTCAAGATAAAACCACCCACTGACCTAGAACTCTTCTTTACTGTAATTATCACGATTATCATTTATGGTTCATTGATGGGCTTTGTCAACTTAAGATGGCACTGTGATCTCCAATATCCACATTCTAATTTTCCTTCAAGCTTGTCAAAGAAAAGCAAGCAGTATTTTAGGGCTGTACAGCTGCCAAGCAGCACTGCTTGCCTGTCATGGTGTCGGTAGCTGAGCCAAGGAGATCATGAAACTGACTTGAATCCTAATTTTACCTCACCATGGCCAACATGATGGTTCTGACCATGTTGTTATCCCAGTGAAAGACTTCACGGAGCAAGGTATAGATTGAAGTGGATTTCATATCTGCTCTAAAATTATGTTTAGGAGTACATGTGTGTAATTTTGCATGACTCACTAATGTTGGATCTGATCCTTATCTCTAAAATGAAAGGGTGATGTGATCTAAAGTCCCTTTAACATGCTCTGATTGTTATATGATTTGTGGCTAGAATCACTTCTAACTCAAAAAGTTTATAATTCTTCACCATATCAAGTACTGACATTTTGCATATCTATAAATAACAAATATCAAGGTGGCCTAGGACAGAGTTTTTTAAATTTTAGATTTCAACTCATTAGTTGGTAATAAAATCAATTTAGTGGGCAGTGATCACATTATAAAAAATAAACGAAATGTGTCAGAATAAACCATTGTGTTGTAAAACTTTTGTTTCATGGATGACTTTGAGGGGTTCAAGACTTCAGTGGAGGAAATAACTGCAGATGTGGTGGAAATAGCAAAAAAAACTAGAATTAGAAGTGAAACCTGAAGTTGTGACTGAATTGCTGCAATTTTATGATAAAACTTGAATGGATAAGCAGCTGCTTCCAATGGATGAGCAAAGAAAGTGGTTTCTTGAGATGGAATCTACTCCTGGTAAAGATGCTGTGAAGACTGTTGAAATGACAACCAAGAATTTAGCACATTACATAAACTTAGCTCATAAAGCAGGGCTTAAGAGGATTGACTCCAATTTTCAAAGAAATTCTACTATGGGTAAAATGCTATCAAACAGCATTGACGCTGCAGAGAAATCATTCCTGAAGGAAGAGTCAATCGATGCGGCAAACTTCACTGCTGTCTTATTTTAAGACATTGCCACAGCACCCCAACCTTCAGCAACCACCACCCTGATCAGTCAGCAGCCAACAAGATCATTGCAAGACCCTCCACCAGCAAACAGATTACGAATCGCTGAACGCCCAGATGATGGTTGGCATTTTTTGGCAACTATGTATTTTTAAATTTAGGTATGTATATTATTTTATACATAATGCTATTGCACACTTAATATACTACAGTATAGTGCAAACATAACTTTTATATGCACTGTGAAACAAAAAAAAATGTGTGACTTGCTTTATTACAGTATTTGCTTTACCTCAGCAGTCTGGAACTAAACCCACAATATCCTTGAGGTATGCCTGTATCACACATAGTTTTCAGCACAGATGAGGAAGATAACTTCCTATCCTTACATACTTTGGACTGCAATTCAGAAACTGGAAGTAGATATTCATCATTTATTGGAATCATTTCACCTATTCATTTAGAAAATTTTTTCTAGAGCTTCCTTTACATACCAAGTTCTGAGGATAGAAAGATGAAGAAGAGACAGACATTGCTGTGGCTTCTAAGACATCTCCAACTTGAGCAACATAATGTTGTGCCAGCAGCTCAATAACAAAAAAACAAACAACCCAATCCAAAAATGGGCAGAAGACCTAAATAGACATTTCTCCAAAGAAGATATACAGATTGGCAACAAACACATGAAAGAATGCTCAACATCATTAATCATTAGAGAAATGCAAATCAAAGCTACAATGAGATATCATCTCACACTAGTCAGAATGACCATCATCAAAAAATCTAGAAATAATAAATGCTGGAGAGGGCGTGGAGAAAAGGGAACACTCTTGCACGGCTGGGGGGAATGTAAATTGGTCCAGCCACTATGGAGAACAGTATGGAGGTTCCTTAAAAAACTACAAATAGAACTACCATATGACCCAGCAATCCCACTACTAGGCATATACCCTGAGAAAACCATAATTCAAAAAGAGTCATGTACTAAAATGTTCATTGCAGCTCTATTTACAATCATTAGATGAATGGATAAAGAAGATGTGGCACATATATACAATGGAATATTACTCAGCCATAAAAAGAAACGAAATTGAGCTATTTGTAATGAGGTGGATAGACCTAGAGTCTGTCATACAGAGTGAAGTAAGTCAGAAAGAGAAGGACAAATACCGTATGCTAACACATATATATGGAATTTAAGGGAAAAAATGTCATGAAGAACCTAGGGGTAAGACAGAAATAAAGACACAGACCTACTAGAGAATGGACTTGAGGATATGGGGAGGGGGAAGGGTAAGCTGTGACAAAGCGAGACAGAGGCATGGTCATATATACACTACCAAGCGTAAGGTAGATAGCTAGTGGGAAGCAGCCGCATAGCACAGGGAGATCAGCTCAGTGCTTTGTGACCGCCTGGAGGGGTGGGATAGGGAGGGTGGGAGGGAGGGAGACACAAGAGGGAAGAGATATGGGGACATATGTATATGTATAACTGATTCACTTTGTTATAAAGCAGAAACTAACACACCATTGTAAAGCAATTAAACTCCAATAAAGATGTAAAAAAAAAATCTAAAATAAAATTTAAGTAAAAAAATAATAATAATAATGTTGTGCCAGTCTTGGAGGTCATTTACTCGAGAGGAAAATACATTTGTCATCCCTAATATAAATCAACGTTATATTGAATGAATGAATTAATGAACCAATGAAGCAACTCAAGATAAAACCAGAATCCAAATGAATTGAGGGACTTTCCTGTCTGTTTTTTCACCATTGGTCTAGCCCCAGAGTAGCAACCACCAGGCATTTAAGGTTGTGCTTACCTGTCCCTCCATGGGAGGCACCTCTGTATTTAGAGGGATTTTTGATTCAACGTCTTCCCACTGCGGAAGGTGATTAGAAGCTGAGGTATCAGTAGCAATGCCACCATTGTGTACCTTGATGCCATTTTCTCCCTGGCAGGAGGGAGGAACGTGGTGAAAGAAAAGACTCTTCTGTGGCATAGGCAGAAACCAGGCTACTGCGAAAGCCACAGAAACACAGGTAAGAGAGATGACATTCAGGCTGAATAGGGACCAGCCTGCCACTGAGACGAGGATCTGCCCTAGGACAGAGCCCACTGTGAAGCCCACCAAGGTGGCACTTCGACAGTAACTCGTGACTTTCTGGTACATGCTCAGGTCTACCACACTGTAGATATAGGAGTAATAGGCAATTTCAGTAGCGGTGGCGATGCCATAGAAGAATTCCAAGAACTGAATGGCCAGCAGTCCCTGGGCATAGAGCAGCATGAACCACGTAACAATAAGGCTGAGTCCCTGCAGCAGAACAACAGGTTTATAACGGAGGAAGTCTGTGGCAAGGAACAGAGGAAACAACAGCACCAGGTGAGAGTAAGTCCATACTGGATATATTTCATTGAAGACCTGGTAGAAAAAAGATAAAATCCCGTTAGTGATCTCAAAGGACCTGGAACATTTGTAACAATTTATTCTTACAAAACAATCTACCAGTACCTCAAAGATCTCATTTTTATCAACCAAAGAAATCTTGACAACAATTCTGATAATTGTTTGGAATATACTTCTCCGTTTCCACCCCATCGTCTTTTTCCTAATAAAATCTTCCCTATTCATCAAAGACTAGTCAACGCCTTCCTCATCCTGGAAGACTTTGCTGCAGCTGATAGTGTTTGTATCCCAGCACCCAAAAAGCTCTCCTGATACTGCTTTGTATGTGTCAGTCTCCTCAATTACCTCATGGCACTGCGTCTTAACCATGGCTACACATCTCCCAAGGAGCTTTAAAAAATGTGGATGCCTTGCCGCAGGCATTTTTTAGAAACCTCCCAGGAGATTTTATTATGAGCCAGAGTTTAGAACCATTGCTTTATAGGTTCTTTCAGGGTGGACTTGACTTTCATTTGCACAACCTAATAGCTCACACACTGTTTGGAAGATACTTGGCTCAATAAATGCTTTGGAAACAAATAAATGTTTTGGAATCATTGTCAGTTCTTACTTCTAGCCACAGAACAGGGAGCCATGATCCTACTGTTTGATTAGGTTTCTCTGATTTTAAGTTTCATTTCTTTGGGGTAACATGAATAGATAAAGAAGGTAAATCTGTCCTACAGTCTTAACAGAGTAACTATCTGTGGATGGTAGCATTATAAGCAACTCTGTTGTCCTTCTTTTTGTATGCCTATAATATGAAAAAAAAATGGAAGGGTTTTTTTTCATTAAGTTTTCATTGGAATATAGTAGAAATAATATTTAAACCACAAAGACCCCAGCTGGAATTTCTGTTCCATCATTTGCCATATGATTTTAAGCAAGTTTTTTTTTAGTTCCTTTTAGCCTTAATCTCCATTATCAGTAAAAGAGGAGTAAAGCCTATGCCACAGGGTTGTTTCTTGCAAGGACTAAATGAGAGAGTACATGTAAATCACTTACTCTTTTTTCATAGGTTTAAAGACTTAAGGACTGAAGCTGAAACACAGACCACTTGGGACAATACAAATTAAATTAACTGAACTGTCGTCCCCATTCTTCGAATAACAATCATTGTAGGAGGCTTTTTCCTCTTTTTACACCTACCCCATAGCCTAGTAAGTTCCTGAGGGTTTAAGTAAGTCAGTTTTATAAGTGATCATTTCAAAGTTTGGATCAGTGGCCCCAGTTTTTAAGTGGGTTCTGAAAGGTAGTCTTACTAACAGTCTAAATACTTTGTGCTGGAGCAATCTAATCCTCGGGTTTGACTTACTTTTTAACTCTCATGTATACCTCAGTTCACCCAACTAATTGTTTTAAGGTTTTAGGGGAACAATAAAGTAAAAATTTTATTTTTAGTAAATTATTATAAAATATTTGCCAATGCAGAGAACTATAAAAGGAAAACATAATCTGAAGTACATTCCAGACTTGATTTCTGACTGAATATCAAAAGTGATTTGTCTAATAGCCTCGCCTTCATGAATTCCGGTCTAATTTGTGTTTGCAAATCATCTAGCAACCTCCATTTACCAGGAAACTTTCTTGTGCCTGAATGTGTGCGTGAAAGAATAATCGAGAACTGTAGAAATGATTCTTATTCACAAGTGTGTAAGTTTTATCAAATGAGGAACAAAGTGCACTCGGCTGACATAACACAGGGTCAGAGGCTTCTCAGTAGAAAACCAAAGGGGATAAGGGCAACCTTGAGATGAAAGCCGTGAAGAGTGAAGGCTTCCCTACAGACTTTTCACAGGTGTGCTCCATTAGCAACTTCCCACTCCTTTTTTGCCTACAGTTTTATTCATTCTCCTGCAGTTTTCTGAAGTGTGAAACTGCCTCCTCTGTTTGACTCTGTATATTTCTTCACCTTCACATTTTCTCCAACATAATACTACAAAGCTGTTAGCCACCACACCTTCCCTTTAAAAATACCTTCCTTCCATACCCGGTCTTCTTTTTTCTCCACCACACGCCTTGGGACTTTCACTGATTCTTCACTCTAGTAAAACTGTCTGCACTTAGACATGTTATATACCTTTCAATACTAGTTGTCCCCAAACGATTAACTGTGAAGTTTTCATTATATAAACCTCATCCTTTCAATTATCAATTTAAAGTGTTTATGCTTATGAGTCTAATTCCACTCCTAATACAAAAACCACAGTTTACATAATGAAGATAAGGAAAAGCAATGCCAAGTAGAAACTAAAATAAAGGCAAGCAGGGGAAAAAGACCAGACATGTTCTCTTTAACTTATTCTCAGTAAGAAATCTGAATTTACTCCTAGGAGAGACATCAACCCAAGAGGACTGTCCCTCCCACAGCATTATCAGCATTATAGTAGTACATCTCTACTGACACCACACACTATGCTAATCACCTCACTTATATGACCTCATTTAATCCAAACAACGCTAAGCGGTAGATGCTTTTATCATCTCTATCTTACAACCAAGGAAACTAGGCCTTATGTGAATTGCCCGAAGTTATCCCAGCTAGTCACCGGCAGAGGGAGTATCTGCACCTAGATATTCTGAATCCACCACCCTAAAATGCCCCATTTCTTCAAACAGAAAACTATTGTTGATCATCTACTATGTTCCAGGCTTACTTCTAATGCCATTAAGCAGCTTTTTCAACCTGCGTAGGGGTGCTTTTATGGGGCTTTCATGAAGAGAGAAGACCAGACAATATGCAGAGCTTAGCCACTGTGTCTCCAAAAGTCTCCAGAAAGACCCCTTCTCTCTCAATGCCTCCAAGGAGAAGCTGTCACACCAGGAAATGCTTCTTTGATGGATACTCTGAATCCTGAAGGGAAACTTCCTAGATGCAAAAATGTACAGGTTACAGACTCTTATTGGCCACACCTGGACGAAACCTTCTTATCTCACGTAAAAATCTGCCGTGTGAGCAAAGGGAACTGATTTTATTCTACGGTGCCTTTCACAGTTCTTTGGAGAAGCCTCAGTTCTCCAGGAGTTCTGAACCTAGTGAAGAGCACATACACATAAATTATTGACAAGGGAGTTAGGAAATATGGAGGGTTGCTCCTTTGAGATGGACCTTGAAGGATGAGAAAGTTAGATCCACTAGATTTATGACTATAAGATCAACATGGATGGAGCTCGGGCATGTAGAAGGCAAGGGGAAGAAGGATGTAGTGGGAGATAAGGGTGTTAAGGAGATAAGAGCCAAATTCTGTAAGGCTCTGAATATTAGGCAGAATAGTTTTAAATTTAATGTCTTAAAAATATCAAAGAAAGGTAGTGAATGTCAAATCCCATGCTGAAAAAGATGAAAGGATAAAAAATTTGGGGTGATAAAGAGCTCTATTTTATTAAAAGTTTGGCTTTCAACTACTGAAATACAAATTTTAACCTGTTTAAAATTTATAAAGTGATACAGGTTAATGGTTTTCCTGAAATCTAAGAAAAAAAAATCCTTTGAGAGTGGAAAGAGGAAATTCTGACCTTCTTTTCCTCCTTTTGTCTTTGGCCTTGGTTAACAACAGCTCTATCTAAGATGACTGCTCTTGGACCTTCTAAAGTCTCCCGAGAGAAATACAAAATTCAACAGAAATAGACTGACCATGATTTGGCACTTGCTTTGCCTAAAAATCATGTAATATTAAATAAATAAATAACTGTACCTTGGTGAAAACAAGCAGTCAGAAAGGAGAACAAGTTGTCCTATTTATTTCAGTTATTAGAGATTTTAAAAAACCTAGGGTTCCAGAGAGGGTGGACAGAGCCACACTGTGCACGACCATCAGAATCGGCCATGATTCTGAGGCCCTCAGAGACAAACGACATCCCTTTCCAGACTTCTGGATTTTTCTTCAAACCCTGCCCTCTTCCTCATCTAATTTGCAGTAACAGAAGTGTGCTATGTTTTTGTTACACATTCAGCAAATGTTTCCTGGGCCTGGCACCTCTGCTTTATTGCTATACGCCTCGAACATATTTCACTCACCTAGGCAGCTTTCTGATAAGACAGGACAGATGATGGTACATCACACAGCAATTCTGCCCAGGGCACTTGTACAAAACAGTTTGGCTTTCAAATATCAACAATGGGAGCGTGTTTCTCTCCCCGTGTGCTTCTCCTTCAGGCAAGGTGCACAAACTGTGCAGATCACGTGGCAGTTCACATGAAATTTTAATCGTTAGCAGCTCACAGACAGTATCATTTCTGCTTCAGTGGCTACAATTCAGATTTGGTGTTTGCTGTGGGTCTCCAGAATCATTCTCTCTTGTATTTACTGAAGTAATTTTCTTCTTGGAGAATCATTCTGTTCACAAGAGTTGGCCCTTTCCACTTTATTATTGTTTTTAACCAATACTATAATTCAAATAGGTAATGAGTAACTCTTACAGTTCCTTGTGGAGTGGTCCGTAAGACTAAGAAGTAGATCTGAAGTTGGGTCAAACTCAGTGCCACTCGCTAGGGGTGAGACAATGTGGGAAACTCAAATGAAATCCTCAACCAAGAGTTCAATCCCTTCCCTGTTAAGTGCCCTTGAAAATGGAGGAGCAATGCAACAACAAACTGGATTATGAGTAATTACATCCTGCTCTGACCTGTTATGTAGGGATACTCAAAACAGGTGACTACTAATCACAGGGGAGAGAGTAAGGTTTAAATGGGAGGAGTACTTCACAGCAGCTGGGGCAGGAAGGCAGGTTGGGAGGAGCAGACATAAGAAAAAAGAAACAGCTAACAACTGCCCACTGAGCTTTCACCCTTTTGTTCCAGAAAGGAATACCAGACCTCAGCTTTTTTGCTTTGTAGTGTTCAAGGAAGAGGATGCTGAATCTGCTTTATTTGGGTTTTGTGGGAGCAGCTTGAGTTTAAGTCCTTTTTCAGTTAATATAATGTCTTTCTTTTTCAAAAAACTGGTGTTGAGATTGACCGTACACTTTAAAGAGTGAAACACATTTTTAAAGTACACAATGCACTTCAAGTACTTTACTTATAAATCTTCCTGGGGAAGTCAATCAGCAAAAAGTTCTTGATCATGGACTATGTACTCTTAATTACTCTCAACATCGCAGCAGAACAGGAAGGAGCAAAACTAACATCTGTGAAGCAACAATTCACAACGCAAGAAAAACTATAATTAAATGCCAACTATGTGATACCATCTAAATATCTGCTTTTATCCCGGGAGGTGGGGTTGGGGGAGTGTGTGCGAAGCGTATTCCTGGACACAGTCTCGCCCAATCAAAAATCAAGACAAGATGATGGGTCCTTGTTGTCCTGTACAGTCCTTATTTGAGCACTTCCATCTCTCAAGGGTAAACAATGCAAAGTAGGGGAAGGAAGAGGGTGCAGCAGATAGAGGGAAGATCCTTTCAGAAAGCAGGAGTTACTCAGCATCTGGTTCCTTACTTTCCGGCAGCAAATATTTATTTAAATCTTTACCATGTCCAAAGTACAACCTGCTGTTTTCCTTTTTATTCTCCAAATATTCTCCTCTCCCCCGCCCCCAAGCAGGAACTGCTAGATCAGTCGGAGCAGAGTGGGGCTAAGTTCCATTACAGCAACATCAGCACATCGCCTGAAGCACACGTGAACTGGGGCTCCCGAACCGCGTTTCGAGCCCTTCACCTAAGACACGGCCTATCTATCCAACGCAGGAGAGAAAAACAGCGTGAATTAAGGCAGCGCCCAGCACGGAGCCGCCTTCCAACTGAGAAAAGTCAGCAATCTCTGCTCAGAATGGCTCCCGCGTTTCAAGAGCCTTTCTCACTCCTCCTTTCCTCAATTACAGCCCCTCCGCCCGCTCTCACCTTTTCCCGCACATCTCGGCGCCCGCGCCCCGCGCCGGCCGAGCCACCTCCCGCCCGCCCGCCCCCCGCGCCTACCTCCCTCTCCGTCAGGTTCTTGTCGGGCCCCAGCAGGTACGGGGTCAAGAAGGGCTCGGACGGCCTGAGGCTGGCGAAGAAGCCGTAGGCGCAGAGCAGCGCGGGGGGCACGAACCAGCACCCGCGCGGCACCC